CGCATGTCACCAAATAGGTAACCACGGCGAGCGATGTTCGCCGAGGCGGGTAGTGGGTGGAAGAAAGTCAAGGGTGGTCAACCTAAGACCTGGCATGAGGGTATGAAGACCCTAACCAGGAGACTGGGTCACATAGGTCCTGTTAGGCTCTCCGGCTGTAGACCTCGGGGTGATCGTACCCGGTGGTTCGAGACACTGAGTGATATGACTTGGTGTCGTTAACAATGACGTTCTTTCATCTTCTGGGTTTCTTTGTAAAGTTAGACCACTGAACATCTCAATTTTCTGTTCGACTCTACCTTCAACCTTCTTGTCTTCTATTATTCGTCCAAATGGGCAGCCAACAGACAGGAACCAAAACCGGCGCACGAATGTGGATGGATAATGGTTGTTCAAACTGAACTAAACAGAAATTCGTGCAGTGGTTTTGGTTGCTGTCTTTAGGTTACCCGTCTGGATGAAGACCAGGATGTTGAGAGAAGTCGAAGAATTCACATGAACCGTTATTCCAAGGATAATCAGTAGATGCATGTGCGCCACTATTTGCGACAGCCGTACCACTGTGCCACTAACCACTGGTTATTAAGATCCCTAGAAGAAATGAAAGCAAGATTGCCGCTGCTGTCGGTTTGCTACCATAACCTCCAGGTTGGGGAGTCTTTTGGACCCCAACCCAGATGAAGACAGATACCTAATCTACCTAATCGCCCTGTTCATTTCTTCATGCTTCGTCTCCACATCATCTGCTGGTCTCTACGTGCCTTTTTCTAGTCTGCAGCGACCACTGTAAATAAGACACGGTGCTATAGGCAACCGTTGGTCATACGCACAACGTGTCCTAACCAACGGAGTCTATGGAGCCGAATTCGATGCGATAGCAAGTTCGTGTTCGATACATTCCCAAACACCCGGCGACTTCTTGATTACTAACCCGCATCGGCGCTATGCCGATATATATACCCTCAGCCTCACTGTATTGCGTTTAACTATAGCTGTAACGACGGTGCTACGATTTATAATTAAAATCTCCACTTGTGAGCCTTCGTGAAGTCAAGCTTTTCTGTGAAGTGTACGCGCAGTTAAACCATACAATTTGCCTTGATAATATTGATTAGCGCTTTCGTATCCTGTCAAATAACCCTATTAGCGTTATTAATTATCACGTTTCAACTTGGAGAATTCAAACAAATTTCACTTTCTGCAATTGTTTGCATTGTAGTGTTAACGAGACTCGTCGTTTTTAAAGTTACTTGCTGTTATCGAATAGTCCGCTAGTTACCATGCGTTCACTCTTCTTGTTTCAGATTTATGGTTGTCTCGGAAGTTATTGCCCGTAAAGAGCGTTCACCATTTGCTGAGACATCTTCCACTGATCATCCTGCAGAAGATAGTGGTCACGCATCAGGTCGTCACCGGGTGCACAACTCATCCCGTCGCTCTAGCAATCATCGATCACGGGATCACCATCGCTCCAGGTCGCGCTCGCCTGACTCTCCTCGCTCTCATGAGGGTGAGGCAAATAGTCACCGTAGATGGAAACCTTTTGATGTAAGCCATCAAACTCCGGAATTTTGGGAACGTCGGAGGTCTACTCGCGAACGAGCTGGGGCCACAGAGAATTTGAAACTTTGGCCTCCTAGTCCACCTAAAGCCGATTCTGAAGATGAAACAGAGGCTCCTTCTGGTCCTAGTGCTCCACCCCAACCTTCAAAGGATGACAAACTTACCGGTTCATCTAGTGGAGATTCGGATAGTTCCTCTGATAGTCGGCAGAAGCATTCGAAAAAAAGACACCACAAAAAGCATCATTCCTCCAAACGAAAGGAAGACCATGAGAATTCGAAACACAAAAAGAAGCACAAGAAACACAAAAAGCACAAATCTCGTAAAGAAAAACAAACCGATAAAAGTCACCGGAAGCATCGTCATTCGAAGCGCGAATCTTCTGCGTCATCTGATTCCTCAGATTTCGAGTCTGAATTTGGCTCTGACGAGGAAGATGAAAAAAAGCAGTTCATGCGCCAAATGAAAGCCCGCAAGAAAGAACTAGAGTTGAAACGTGCTCAGGAGGAGGAAGAAGTTGGCTTTATTGGTCCTCAGCTTCCTGTAGCAGAGCATGCACTGCTTCCTCTTGATTATGGTCGTGCCCTACTACCTGGCGAAGGTGCCGCGATGGCTGCCTATATTGCCGAGGGCAAACGTATTCCTCGTCGTGGTGAAATCGGTTTGACCTCTGATGAGATAGAAAAATTCGAAGCACAAGGATATGTGATGTCCGGTAGCAGACATCGCCGTATGGAGGCAGTCCGATTGCGAAAGGAAAATCAGATCTATTCTGCCGACGAGAAGCGTGCATTGGAGCACTTCAATTATGCTGAACGTGCTAAGCGAGAGGCCAAATTGCAAGCTCAATTCAAAGCGCTCATTAAACGAAAGCTGGAGGATAAACAGTCGTCGGCTAATTAGGGGCGTTATTTTTTGAAGCATTGTGATTATTTTGTTCTTTTGTACATACCAGACTTTCAATGTATTCACAACATTCTTGCTACTTTGTTTTATTCATTATACTTTTGCACCTGATAAGTGCCACGGAACTATTTGTTAATGGCAAATCGTAAGATTATGAGCTACCTATAGATTTAGATTTTGAATGTTTAGCTTAGCCCATTCGGTTTTTCATAGGCACCAGGTGCTGTTGATGATTTTGACTGTGGGTTTCACTCTTTGGGAGATCGCTAATTCTCCACCGTTTGTATGCATTTAAATGCGATTCGCACAAGGTGATAACCGTCAACCGTGAAGCTCAAGAGTAAGGGTTTGAAGTCCCAGCCCGAAGAATCACCGCTCGAGTCCTAAAAAGGATACAAAAAGTACGTACTTCTAACGAGTCCCAAACAGGACGAAACAGCTGTCCGGTATTCTTTGTTGGTTATCACAAACTTTTCGATCACATTTAAACCTATACATTCACCTAGGAATTATTGGTCGAACATCGTAATCTCCCGAAGTATTTTTGGTTGGACTTTTTTGCATGTTAACTCGCGCATCAATATTGAGGACCTCACACATCAAAATCATTTCATGGATACTACTCTTCGAATTAACACCGCTACAGAAGAATGAAAAATGTTCCATAACCAAAAATGCGGTAGGTATATGTTGCGATTTCATAATACTAATGTGACCCTTGCCGAGTTAATATTACGGAGGAGATATGAACAGCGTGGCTTTTCTCAAGCCAGGAGACCTTATCATGCCTGGAAGGTCAATGGTTAGAGGTTAGACGAATTTCAGTGTCCTGGTCCTCCAGGTTGGGGTTCGACTGAAATTTGCGTTACAAGGGCAAAAGATGGTGGAGGAGTAATCGATCCAAGTAAATGGGCCTCCGCTTCGCTTCACCCGTTGCCTTGTGGTTAGGTTCTTATCAGAACTAAAGGCTTTGGACGAAAACCCTAAACGTTCTCCTGCTTAGTGGCTGGACACCCTAGCAGTACCCTTCTATCAAGTTCCAATGCATACACAAACTAACAATAATTCCATACTGCATCGGTCGTTGCGCAGGATAATCAGGACCGCGCTTCCCATTGCATCGAGCGGGGTGGGTAGTGATAAGTGGGCTACTGCTCAAATATCTCAAACGCTGAATCTGGGGGCCTTCAACGTGAGGACTTTGATGCAGGTAGGTCAACAAGCTTGTCTGGCGCGTACAGTAGAATCCCTGGGGATTGATATCTGCTGCGTATCGGAGACGCGAATCCAAGATCCTAGTACTATAAGCCTCATAAAAGTACTGGAGTTGTCTTCGAGGTCTTTCCTCCGCATGTCAGGTGATGACGAAGTCCGTTCAGTAGCCCAATGTGGTGTGGGCATTGTACTCAACAGTACAACCGAAGCCGCACTACTCGATTGGATCCCCGTCAACAGTCACTTATGTGCGATGCGGCTCCAAGGGTCTATCAGCGCGCGGAAAGGAAGCAACACCAAAAGGTGTTTGTTCATCATTTCAGCGTATGCACCGGCCAGCTGCAGTTCTGACGCACAAAAGGATGGGTTTTATGATAAACTCACCAAACTCATTCGGTTGAGCCGAAGCTCCGATATAGTTGTTCTCGCAGGTGATTTTAACGCCCAAGTTGGAAAAATGAGCGCATCAGAAGCCTGCCTAGGCGGTCATTGTGTTCTGCCCTACCAGCAAACAAATAATGGCGATCGACTTCTTCAGTTCTGCACAGACCGTCATCTGTTTCTGTCCAGCACCAACTTCCGACAAAGCTCCCAATAGACAGCAATGTGGCGCTCAAATTCAACTGGCACGCTAACTCAGATCGACCACATAGCTACCGTTGGCGTGGTTCAGTAGAAAACTGCAGGTCCTATTGGACCGTATGTGTTGAATCTGATCGTGCGTTAGTTTTGATGCAGTTCACTCTCGAACTCACTGGCCTCAGAAAAACCCATCAAAATCGATTGGCAGATCATCACTTATCCGACTCAGCCGTTCGTGCCCGTTTTGAATCAGAACTAGAGCAAGAGCCAAACACGCTGCGGGATGGTAGTGTAGATGATCAGTGGGATCAAATTAGCCGAGCAATGCACTTCACAGCCAATGTTGCTTGTGGATCTGGAGCGGTATTCCGACCGAGGCCTTGGATACCTGATCAGTCACTAGCACTGGTGCAGAAAAAGCGGCAAATCCCGACCGCCCGGGCTCAAGGCGGGGCGTGGCGTTTGCAACGTCAACTCAAAAAGAGTCTCAAGAGGGACCGCGAGAACTGGTGGGCAACGGTAGCTAGTGAAATGGACGTAGCAGCTGCATCAGGGAATAGTCAAAGACTGTTCCAACTGATGCGCAATATGGGAGGTCAGCGAACCGCAGTTAGTGAAACAATCTGCGACAAAAGTGGGCAATCTATTCACCATAGGGAACAGCGGCTTGACCGTTGGGCGGAGTACTTCAATCAACAGTTCAGCTGGGCAGGCTCCAATCAGGCTATCTTCTCCGGTGTAGCTCAAGTTTCGTGGGCAGTGTCATCTGAAACTCCTACTACAGTAGAAGTTCGTTTTTGCGTCCAAGCCCTGAAGAAAGGAAACGCAGCAGGACCGGAAGGGCTTCCTCCCATTCTTTTCAAGACGGAGTGGGTGGCGATGACCTCGTGGCCGCCATTACTAATATAATGCGTGACATCTGGTCACATGAGCGTATTCCATCATCCTGTAAAAAGTCACTGATCGTTCCAATCTTCAAGAAAAAACCTCTCCCGAAGAGCCTCAAGAGGGACCGTGAGAACTGGTGGACATCAATAGCCAGCAAAATG